ACACACACACACACACACACATACACACATACCACAATAACATTCAAGTTCTGCATTATAATTATTGAGACATTGCTGCTTATCAATAAAGTGACACAGATGCATGTGCTACCACTAACAGATCTCTGTGTCTACTGCCAATCTGGCAATGCCATTTTATAACAATATTGCTTCCTTTGTGACAGGCGTATAAATGGCTTTCCATCTAAAGGTAGAGGATATCCAGTGCTGTAAGTGTTGTTTGGTTTAAGATATCTAGCTGGTTTCAGTTACTTGGACATATTAAACTGCCTTCAGTGTCTAACTAATCAATCATACATTCAGATCAGTGCTTCAAACAGATCAGAGCAGTGTATTCAGTTCTAGCATTATACAAAGTTACAGTATGTTTACTTACAGTTCATTTCAATAATCCAGGAGAGATAAATGAAGAATTCAGGTAGCATATCTGTAAAAGAGTAGGTACTCATCAGACAGAAGGCAGCTTGCCTTGAACTGAAGGCAGATCATTCAGTGGATGTGTTGGAGTATTTCTGACTGCAGAGCTCACACATCAAGCCTCTTCCCTCCCTCTCTCCAGCTTCCTCTCTTTCTGACTTCCCAGCTACCTTTTGCAATCTTTTCTTTTGTCCCTAATTTCTCCTGTGACTCTTCCGTGATACACATACACAGCAAAGTGAGGGAAGAAGAGGAGAAGCAGGAGGTGGAGATTAGAAGGAAGACAGGGTAACCAAAAGGAGTTTATTACATGTGTTTACTGCATTGTGAAAGTTACAGAATGAGTACAGAATGTCACTATTATTGGTAGGATGATGCTATGTTTGAGGAAAAGCTTTTCGAAATATATGAAGAGGAAAGGGAATTGTTTAAAGGGAAACTCCACTTTAACAAAATAAAAATAAATATTTCATATATAATTGCTGCACAAACCATTTTGTAATTTGATGTTTTAAACATTAGATTTTTATCTAAAACTAAAGCTGCTGTTATTTTCTAAAACTATTTTAAAAAAATCAATGCAATATGGAGGCGTTCTGTACATTAACTGCGTACTAAACACCTTCAGGTCTCAATTTTTAAGTAATGTCACTTCCTGCTTCTGTGATTGGCTGATTTTTGCAGAAGTCTGCACTAACCTTTTAGGCATTCCATGCAATAGGAATTTCATTGTTGGTGATATATTCCAAAAGGGGTAATTGCTCCTATAGGGGTGTAGACATTGCAGCTTTCCTCATTACAGCACAGAAAGTCTACCAGCTGATTATAATGAAAACAGACCCTCATATTCAGGAATCAGGAAAGGACATGCTGGAACACATTATTATTTCTTCAGAACAGAAAAAGTGTGTTAAAATCTGAGCAATGTACATTGATCACCCAGAAGAGGTTGTTTTTTTTCTGACAAAAAAAACAACTCAGTTACTCTTTAAGTATGGATACCAATATGTTAAACTGCCTTAAAATCCTTTTTTTTTGG